AAAGCCAGGAATATTCTAATATCCTGTGAAAGTGAATGACGAATGGACTCAAACATACGCCTTAACTTAGCTTCACTATCAGAATAACAGAAGCATAGAGTTGAAATAGAGATGTATCAGATCAAGAAAGAGGACAAACCGATAATATTAGACATCATCTGGTACCCTCAAAATTTGAAAACTGTCACTTCCAGGTGATCTTGATCCTTATGGTAATCGGTAAGAAAACCATATACCCTTTGGGAACTAAAGAAACTCAAGTAAGCCTAGATGATCATATAAAAGTTCCGAATAGAAGCAAATAGTAATAATGCCAAAGCTTCCAATTAGGGGTGCAAAACCATATTCGTATCCGCGGATATATCTCAAATCTGTAACCGATAGGATATGATTACGGTTATGGTTGTATATTGAAATATCCGGATTTGTGTCCGAAGTATCCGAATATATATTGATCGTACATCTGCAATTGTTAGATTGACGAATTTAAGACTAATCTTGATGATCAAAATATTCGATCTTAGCTTTTCAGATATAACAAACATATTAATGATCCTTTTGTATCATGTGAACTATATTTCTTCAATATTAACTCGTTTTCTAATATCCATTTTGTATCCGCATGTACATCCATATTAGTATCTGATTTTGGCGACTGAATGCAATCTCTATCAACAGTATGATTGGGATGCCACAGTCACCACAACATATTGGTTCATATTGAAAGAATGCAATGTGCACATATTTCAATTCAAAGACACATATTGAAAAAGATACCAGGAGAAAATGTTACATATTTGGTGGTTGTAGATAAACTATTTGCCTATGCATATAATTGGTCTTGTAGTACATAGGGTTGAATCCAACACATCACTATCACATTTTAACTGGATCCTAGTCGAGATCGGTTCTTGTACCAAGTTGCAGTAGTCCCATGAAACACATACCCACCCTATACATAATACACTGTGGATACTCCAAGCCCGTGCAACAGCACGTACAAACATACGCGTGCACTCATGCAGACGTGACACAAACAGTAAAACACATGTATCATCTGTGTCTCATTTTGCTCGTTTTGTGTGTGTGTGTGTAAGAGACCTGGGAGAACTCAATCCTAAAAGCGACTAGTTAGAGGAAGAAAACTCAAATCTCTTACAAACCCACGACCGACCCTCCATTTAGTCAGTCAACATGGGACTAACTTAAGCCTTCATGAGAGCCTTCAGGAGCCCCAACGCCTACACAGGATGGATGTGCGCTAGTCTTGTCCAGTCCATGTCAAATACTTGCAATACCAATGTCACCCCAATGGCTTTACATAAGGCTAGTTCAGGACAAACACTGCACTGCCAACACCACTGTTAGCATGGTTCACTTTCCTTGTTTCCCCATTTACCGAACGCGGGTGTAAATGGATCCTAACAGTGCACGTGGCCATGTCCATGTGCATATATGCATGTGTACATCCTTAGCTAACAATGGAATGCTTAGAAGAGATACTATAATCAACTTCTAAGTTATAGCATTGACCGAAAACTATTAGCACTACCCGAAAGAATCCCCAGCACATCGTCGTTGATCAAACCCTTGGAATGAGCAGCCTCGACCTCCTTCTCCAATGCCCTAACATGATCTCTAAGAATGTGAATTGATAAAGCCCGTCTATGTATAACCTGATCCTACAACAACAACAACAACAACAAATTTAAAAATTAAAAATTAAAAAAATCCGGATTTTTACACTGCATTTTATTTTTAAAAAATGACAAAAGTTCAAGTTCTAACCTTTGAGGCATACGATTCAGCTTCTGATAATAATCTATCAATACCAATTGCTGATCCTGCACAATTTCCTGAAAATGAGTTTACTCGCCCCCAAAATTTACCCTGAATTGGTTAAAAACTAGAGATAAAATGTTTTTTTTTACCTCTGAGATGAATTCTTAGGGTTTGGATTTGGGACTGGAGATTGGAGATCTCGGAGATGGAACTGGTTATTTCGTCGATGCTCGAATTTGACGAGCAATCGAACAAGAATTGACGATCATCTGAGACTCCTTTGACGTGAATAACTACCATCGTTTCTTTATGCTCTCTGCTCGTTTTCTCCTTTGAGTTCGAAGCTTTGAGAGACTTTCAGCTGAGGTTAACGGGTCGGATTATTTTATTTTTTTTTTAATTTTTTTTTTATTTTTTTTTATTTTGATCTGCAGTATCTCCTCGGAGAAAACATTGAATGGACCCAGCATGATATTAAATGCAAATCAAAGATATTGATCCTTCGATCATGACTGGATATTTTCTCTCGCTATGCCCGGGTAGCTGATGCGATTCAATCTATGATATCATATCATACTTTTCCCTTTAAAAGCACGAGTTTAGAAAAATCTTTCGGTAAACAAAAATACTCATATAAAGTTTGAATTATCCTATTACTAATCTAATTCTATTTTTTAAATTGTATTTAATAATTTATTCTAATCCAATGTAGTATATACTGTGAAAATTACAGATTAATTAATAGATTCAAAATTTTAATTATAAAAACAATCCTATTAATTTTTTTCGGAACATACATGTTGAAACGCCGATGCCACGATCATCTCTTTCAACATGTATGTTCCTTTTTTATTTTCATGATCATGATTAAAGCTATGTCAATTAATTTTTTCTATACCCCTATAAAGTTTGAATTATCCTATTACTAATCTAACTCTATTTTTTAACTTGTATTTAATAATTTATTCTAATCCAAGGTAGTATATACCGTCAAAATTACAGATTAATAGATTCAAATTTTCAATTATAAAAACAATCCACTTACAGATATCACGTGTGAATGTGCACTCGGAAACCAATCCACTGACAAAGTTTTAGGATATAAATCTATTGTTTTAATTATAAAAATAATATCAGGTATCTTATATATAAATCCAAAAGTTTTAGGATATAAATCTATTGTTTTAATTATAAAAATAATATCAGGTATCTTATATATAAATCCACTTACACAGATATCACGTGTGAATAAATCCACTTACAGATATCACGTTGTGTTTAATTATTTTAAATGTTTGTTTTCTATTGGTTTTTTAAACGTGTGAATGTGTTTAACCTTGATTATGGCCATTGGATATTAATTTTTAAATTTTAAATGTTTGTACAATGAGAAATCTAATTATGACTATTATCCTTTCATATGCAATACCTCATGCTTATATATAATTTAATGCAAACAGAGATTAATGTGTTTATGAATAGAGATGTTGTACTAGATTAATGTGTTTATAACTCATAAATAGTAGATCATGTGGTCATAGTCTCGGTTGAAGGAAATAATGACAATATTTTATTTGTGAAAGATCATTGAGTTTATGATCAATCTCACATAACACTTTGTTCTTTTTTTTATTTTTACTCTATTTTTATCAATTTAAATAATCATGATATTCAACCACGTGCATTACACGTGTATCTCAACTAGCATATAGAAATGTGGCAATTTTTATTGGGAAAGTATCTCTTTGCTAAATTTCACAAAATCCCCCTCAAATTTGAAGTGATGTGTACAAAACCTCTTCTAAACTTTGAAAGTTAGAGAAACACCCTTAAATCATAATGGTTTTTGCGGAGAGGATTTAGCCTAACTTGTCCATGAGGGTGTGTTTTGCAAATTTACAACATTAGTTTTTGTTATGGTGTTCCCACTCGCCAAAAGACAACTTAACGTGAAGCAACGAATAAGTGTACTTCTGCAAGCAATACCCAATCAACTTGGTGGCCCAAGCCCAACAAGGATCCTGACTTAGCCGACTCGTCTAGTCAATATTCCTTCATGTCGACTGGAAAGACGGTACCAATCGACCTTCTTGTCGTGGACGATTCACCAGCAGTCCACTCGACCACTTGTTCGACGCCTCACGAAGACAATTCGATGAGTGTTGCTTCTGGGCGAAGCTAAAGGACTGTTTTCGCCTTGAGCTTCTCCCTTTGGCAACGTGTCACCATTATATTTAATGGTTGGCAGGTGTTAGCCCTAGAGGGGCGGTGATTAGGGTCTTATGCTAATCTAATCCGATTTAAATGCCAATTAAAATTAATTAACAAGTATATTCTTGCAAGATACATATACAAGAGTTATAAGCAAGAATAAGCAATATGAATAAAGAGATATATCATATATGATAAATATATGCAATGATATATAAACTAGCACAAGATGATATATCCTACCAAAGAGATATACAATATGATATATGTAAGGATATGTAAACTAACACAAGGGTAAACAATATGAACTAGATAGTGGATGATAAAAATAATGAGCTATAGACAATGGCGACAAGAAATATAAACATAAGATTAAGTGCGCCAAAGCAAACTCAAACACATGATATGATCACGGAGTTCGGACCTTCCGTCCTATGTCTCCGCTCCCCTCTCCCGGGGAGAAATCCACTATCACAACCGGGTTTTCTACGCTCACCCGAATAACGTTTACAACCACACTATGTCGGTTTTCAACGATCACCGATCAACGTATACACTCACTCATAATGTCGGTTTTTAACGTTCACCGATCAACGTTCACTCCTCACACTCGGTTTTCTATCTAACCGAAAACTTTACAATCTCACAAAGATAACAAATGATTTGTTCTCTAATACAATGTGAGAACTCAATTAAAGCTCAACTCAATGTTACAATTTCTCACAAACCTAATATACTATGTATGTAAATACTAAAAGCTCATGTGGGTGTGTGTAACAATGAGAATAAATAAAACAACTAAACTCAAATAAAATCTAGCATATAGAAATTATGAATAAAACAATAAATAGCTAGAAATAGAGTTTAGGAATTCTTCTTTGAAAAACAAGATGTAGAGATGGATTAAAAGGAAGCTCAAACAATGTAGATGATCTCCTCCACTTGTGAACCAACCAAAACAGCTTTAAACCAAACTTAAACCCCTGTTAAAACTTTTATAAACTTGTTTAAAACATCCCATTAGTTGCTGAAATAGAAGGGGGTTTGGGGGTTTATATAGGAAGAGGAAGCAACAGAAAAAACCCTTAGGGAAAAGACCAAACATCCCAAGAATCAGAAATCTGATTCTGTACCAAAAGAGCTGTTAGGATAAACGGCGGTCGACCGCGAGCAACAAAAACAACAGGAAAAGCTCCAGAGACTTCGGCGGGCGACCGGGGGGAAACAAACATATTCTGAGTTCTGAACTCATGGCGGTCGACCGTGGCAGTCGACCACGAACTGATACATGCTAAAACAGGTTTTGAAAGCTGAATTGCTGATTTTAAAACAATGTTTAAAAATATCAAATAAATTCCAAAAATTATGAAACTTTGGGAAATGATTGTAGACATGATAATACACATGCTACAAAAACTGGTTTTCTAAAAGGACTTCCCAAATGAGAAATATCATCATTTTGCAAAATAGTCCAAAACACGAAAATGTAAACATATGATATTTGACATTTAGGCTAAACCATGTTTTGAAACTTTGCACAATAATTATGTAGACTTAATAAAATATGTATATGATTATTGTTAAGTCCAAAAACTAATAATACAATATTTTTATAAATACAATAGAAAATGAAACATATGAGTATGTATATGAAAATATATTTGTTTCATATCTAAGTAATTAAACCAAATCACAATAATAAATATGAAATATGTAATTTCATATTTATAAATATAAAAACCAAAACTTGTGTTGTATATATATATGACTACATATGTATACAAGAAAACCAATAAAATGTGTGTGTATATGATATTGAGCTTAGAGTATCTAACACACATAATATAAAACCTAAACTAGATTACCCAAGCCGATCTTGATATTCAATAAGCTTGACTTGGTACACTATGCGGATGAAGCTGAACTTGGATCTTGAACTTGAATTGCATAAGCTTCACTCCACAATTCCGCCAACCTCTATTGGATATGATCGTTGAAGCACAATTCCATCCATCCTCAAACACGTTGTTTGTCTAGAATAAATACGAAAACACAAACACTAGACAAACAACATTAGACGTAAATTGTTTGTTAAACATCATCAAAACAAGAAGGCCAACAACAGGTGCCATCATGACTCTAGCTCTGATAGTCTTCATGACTCATCGAACTACGTCAGCACCGTCATACCTCTGATCACTTTTCATTCAATGCCGAAGTGATCCTTCTCCCAGTTGCCAGCTGACACCTGTAAAGTAGGTGTTGACGCGGCCGCCAGCCCACACTTCGTCACCCCCTCTCAGTACTCGGGCGAAGTGATCAATCTACCCTTATACCTTTGGTATAAATATATGTACTATTCGAACTTTAGAGGGGTTCAAAAACTGGTTCACAAAGGGGATCTAAAAAAATTATCTGTAAAATTATACTGCATACCCACAAGAACTCTTACAGTTTTTATTGACCTCACTCAAATTCATCAGCTAACTTGATCGTCTGAGGTACAATGGGGGAACCAAACACCACTCTCTTACGAATTTCTACATGTGCAAATTTTTCAGATACCCAACTCAAGAACCATACATAAAGTCAGGGAAGAAAGCGCTCCCCTCATTAATCCTCAACAAACTCGTCCAAACACGGATACATATTGACTGTGTGATCACTTAACATCACCAGTTTTTAGGTAGTATGACCCGGACCTAATATCTTATTTTTATATTTTAGTTTTTACGTGGTACGACCTGGATCCAATATCTTATTTTTATAGTTTTGGTAAAAGTTGGATCCCAATTAAACTAGTTCTTTCTATTTCAAAATATAACTCCTAAATTAGGTTTTTTTATGGATCAACTCTTACATGGTTCAACTTTGATCCAGTTAAGATAAAACTAGTCTAGCCTAGCCTTTGGCAATTTCAAAAAGAGAAAATGCCAAGTCTAGTTTTCTTCTAACTAAGCTAAAGGTAGTGCAAGTAGAGGGCGATACCGAAGAAAACAAAATTAAAGCCTAAATTGTTCTACTTTGGTCTAATTGTTGCTAAACTAAAAATTATAACTTTTGGACCAAAGTTGTGTTGACTGAAATAAGTTTTATGGAGTTGCTAAATACGTAACCTCTCTTCTAAGAGCTCTTAACTTTCTTCTTTTGACAAAGAAGCCCTCAAGTTTTAACACTCTCTTCTAAGAATCCCTCGATTTTTATTTTTCGAAAATAACTTTACCCCCTCCCTTCTAGCAAATCATCTCCTCAAAAAATAAAATAAAAATAAAAAAAATCTCAAAGTTATCAAGAATAGTTTAGGGCTTCTTAGAAGAGAGATTTAAAATTCAGGGAATATATCATATTTTCCTTCAATTTAATTTAGAAATATAACTTATCAACATTTAATAAGGCTAATTTCAGAGGGAAAAACCTTTAACTTTGGACTATCATATGATAGCTTTTATTAAGCGTTAACTTTCAAACTATTAGTAAAACCTGCCTAAGTTTAGGGGTTATCAAAAAAACTTTCTTTAACTTTAAGATTTTTTTTTTCATGAAGCACCCTGATGGTGTTAAGTGTATTTTTTATACGAGTGGGTAAAATTATGTTGGGACATACCTTTGTCAATCAAATTAATAGTTCACGCTTTAAGGGGTTCTTTTTTAAAACATGTTGAAGTGGGTTATATGATGACCTCTAATGTTTTTGACATTAAATGGGGTTATCTTTATATATATATATATATATATATATATATAATCCTCCTACACAGTCAGGGGGATTTCTGAAATTCAGCCATTTTTGCAAGGCAAAAGCACAAAATTTTCAGACCTCTAAACAAGCTACAAAGCCAATTTCCCACAAATATTATTACTAATGGGCCACGCCGCTAAACAAGCTGTAAAGCCCATTTCGTATGGCCCACTAGTCGTTCTCCCAAGCCACAAAGGCCATTTATAAACGTCCGCTCCTGCTAGGGTTTCTTTGATTAGCAGCAGAGAGAGCGAAAGGCGGCAAGAGTTCCCAATGGGTAAAAATCTCAGTGGCGATCTCAAAATTTCCCTACTTTGATCAGATCTCAGCCAAAATCTTACATTTCCCCTTCTCTTTTGCAGCGAGAATCAAGGTCCACGAGTTGAGGGGCAAGTCAAAGGCCGATCTTTTGAATCAGCTGAAGGATCTCAAGGCGGAGCTCGCCCTCCTCCGCGTCGCTAAGGTCACCGGCGGTGCCCCTAACAAGCTCTCCAAGATGTAAACCTCTCTTTAGATCTCTCTCTTTCTCTGTTAGGGTTAGGGTTTTGATGATTGTATTGTTTTGATGGCAGCAAGGTTGTAAGGCTCGGGATCGCGCAGGTTCTAACGGTGATCTCACAGAAGCAGAAGGCGGCGCTGAGGGAAGCGTACAAGAAGAAGAAGTTTTTGCCGCTGGATCTCAGGCCCAAGAAGACGAGAGCCATTAGGCGCAAGCTCACCAAGCACCAGGTTTGTTTTTTTAATATTGAAATGTGTTTAGAGTTCTTGCATTTTTGGAGCATTTGTTTTGTTTATTAATGTAATTTATTTAATTACTTTTTCTCCTGTGATATGATGTTGTGTAAGATTATGTGGTGCGAAGTTAAGGATTAAATATTCATAGAATTTTTTATTAGTAAATCTAAATGAAACATTTTGCCGCGTGAACTAGTTTGTGTAGTCCTTTTTTTCAAATTGGTAAATTTTGAGGTGGGTTGATTAGCTTTAGGAGAAGAGTTGGAAGATATGCAATGACATCATTTTGTTCTTTGTCTTGTTACATGAGAATGATTAATTCTATTTGAGCTTGTAAAATGGGCTTTTCTAACGGGTGCTCATGGGCACTTGTTAGGGGATGGGAGAGAGAGAGAGGAGAGGCCATGGGAGAAATTAGTACAAATCTGGGGGACACACCTGCTATTCATTTCTCTCTCTCATCCCCTAATGAGCCCCCATGGGCACATGTAGAAAAATTGATGTAAAATAACAAGTTTTATTCCATGTTTTTAGTGTGGAGTGTTAGGGCCTGTTTGGTTTGCTTCTGGGAAAAAAAGTTGGAAATGGAAAGCGTGGCGGAAACACATTTCCTTCCATTTTCAAGTGTTTCTTGAAGAAGCTTTATGGTTGTTTGTTTCGCCTGGAAAACATGGGGCGGAACACCTTCCTCTCTTTCCATTGCTTTGTTCAAAATAAAAAACAAGAAATGTGATTATGGGTCCATTATTGTGTTGACATCAATACCTCATTTTATTACTTGTAAAAGACTAGAGTCTTGAGTGTGTGTTGGGGCAGAACACCTTCCTCATTTTGTTACCTAACTTCTTCACTTATTTCTTCAAAGTGTCTGAGTGTGTGTTGGGGGGAGGTTGGGGGTAGGCTGGGTTAAGGATAAAAAACCCTTATAGCACATTGAACATTTTCAAGACTCCGAAGATGTCACTGTGGCTAAGTTGCATGGAAACGGGCACGGGTACGGGTGCGGGTACGGGTAGGGGACACGGCAAAACTATAAAATGTTGGGTACGGGGACACGACTACATATATATATTGAATTAATAATGTACATGAGATTTTTTTTTCCGTTTCATGTGTCATTAGAATTAAAATTTTGATCACATTTTTGAATTTATTTTATCATATTGATTATCGTGAATTGTAAACTACTCGTTTTTTAACTAGACATCTAAACGGCCCATTAACTATATAGTTTTGAACATGGGTATGGACTGAAACGAACCCGATCCGTATCCCATTAGTTTCAAAAGACAGATGTGAAGTGTAAGCACTACGTTCAGGAAGTCATTGACAAGTGTTTTAAATTAACACATATATCGTATAATTGAGTACATGTTGTAATAAATGCATGCATATATTCAAGAAGTGTCCATGAAGTTTGGGTACGGGAAAGTGTCGGGTACGTGTCCGGTACGTGTCCGGTACGGGTACGGCTTCAATAATGAAGTACGTAACTTAGCACTGGTATGTGGTGAATTTAAGAGGTAACTCTTCCATCAAAATGATCCCACACATCATGCCTTTATGAAACAAACTTATGGCTGAACAAATCAAAGATTTGCTACCTGCTGCTACCATGTTAAATTTATGTTTGAATTATAATGATGAGTTTAGTAACTTGCTAGAATTGGAATTTAGGTATCACCATATATGAGTTGTAATTTTTCCCAAAGAAGAGGGAATAAGTATGTTATATATTCAAAATCATTTAAAACATTGTTGTTTTATGGGGATTAGATTCCAATTATTTTATTATCCAGGGGATTTTGAGGGATATAGAGGGTTTTTGGGGAGTTTATTTTTTGGTCAAGCTAGCTTTTAAGCTTGCTTTTTAATATCTACTAGTACTTGTTTGGTAAAATATCAAATAAGTTAACTTATAAACCCCATTTTAAAAGATGATATACCCTAGCTTTTGAAAAACTAGCTTATAAGGTCATCTAAATAAGCTAGGGTTGAGCAAAAAGGTTATTACTCTGCCCAAACAATTTTTATAGCATTTTTTATCATAAAAGTTAGAAGCCAGTAAAAGCTAGCATAACTTGTTAGCTTCAAAGAATAAGCTCTCCCAAACACCCTGATAGTCCTAACACCCATGACGTTGTAAGCTATTTGGATACTTGGAATGAGTTTCATGCTAAAAGATGCTTTTAGAGTTTAGGAATAGATATATTAATCATTTGATGGCCGCAACAATGTTATTATTTTGGAGTATTAGCCAGCTCTATGAATGTGATCAGTTTTTTAGGCTTTACATCCGTAAACCTAGGTTCATTTAGCACTACAATAACTGTTTTCGTGTATATCCCAAGGGCCACTTGTTGATGGTTCACGAGCATGGACCTATTTCTGCTGCAGCATGCATACGAGATATTGCCACAGGAACCATATCATGCTGACCTTTAATAATCATCTCATATGGCTTGAGTCCTTTGGATACATGCATCATTATATCAAATCAATATTTTGCTCTATACTGTGATGCTATTTAATTGAACAAATAGCTGCATAATTTTTTATTAATGTACAACTGTATTATATGTCCCTCAAGCTTACTACTTTGTTATAGTGACATGAACCTCATTTTAGTCCTTGTTTAAGCTGCTTTTTGTCTAGAATTCAGCATGGAGACAGTAGGAGTAAAAGTAAATATCCTTGGATTCCAATGAGAAAAAGTTCATTTATCATGTTTTTATATGACGATAATCTGATTTGTTATTTAATTTCTAAAATTCCATCTTTGATTTTTCTTTTATTTTTTTCTCTGTTTACATTTATAGGAATCTTTGAAGACAGAGCGTGAGAAGAAACGAGAAATGTACTTCCCGAAGAGGAAATATGCCATCAAAGCATAGAGCAGCATATGGACTTTTGTTCTTTTTTGCTATGTTCTTCAGATTTTGTTATGAGACTGGTCTGTTGCATGCAACTTTTACATTATCTGAATCCTGTAGTTGTTGATCATCTTTGAAATTTCTCTTTTATATTTTCTATGCGTGTCTACGCTCAAGATAGTGAAATTACTTGCCTGAAGACAATGAAGCTGGGTAATGATATTATGGAATTTCTGAACGTGTCTTGTTCTGTATGATGTGCCTGGCAACTTTGTCTCTGTTCTGATAACATTTTTGCCTTCGGCTGGCCAATGCATTTCGTTCTTGATAGCACCTCCTCTGCGCCTATGAAGATTGCCACTAACATGAAGAGGTTGCTGGGGTGTTGTCATAAAGCCCATCATTTAAATTTAGCTTCTACGTAGTTTTTGCCTAAGCTGCGGTTCGTCGCAAGCGTTGAAGCTTTGCTGGAGGTCTAGGTTCCTCTCCTTTGTTTGTGTTTGTATTGTGGCTTTGAATCTCGTCAACTGTCTAAGCAATCAAGCCAACTTTATTGTAATAGCATCGCCGCCGCGAGTGTTGAAGATTGATTCCCATACACTGTTACCTCATCTTCCATTGCGATTGATCTTTTCAGTAAATTTGTCTTTTTGATTCAAGGATGCAGAACGCCCAGTTTCAAAAGGTTTTGGATTCAGATCTTTTTATTATATATTCATTTGTAACACTAACTATTAAAGAAGCACGCGGATTATTGAATGAAGTATGTCTGCAACGTTGTCCATTTGCAACTAGCTAAAAAACCTAACAAATGTTAACTAATATGAGCAAGATATAACCAAGTGTTGAAGCAAGACACTTGGTTCTGGTTTCTCAAGTGCCGGCAACGGAAATAATTTCTTTTGTATAGCATTTCTTATTTTGGAGTAAAATCAAATTAATCACCAAAAAATGTTAAAAACCGATGTTAGCCCCCCCAAGTCATTGACGTTTTGATGTCAAATTAATCACCAAAAAATGTTAAAAACCGATGTTAGCCCCCCAAGTCATTGACGTTTTGATGTCAGCCCCCCAAAATTTTGAAAGTGATCTCGGCCCACCCTCCTAAATCTTCAATATTTCGATATTAGCCCCCAATATTTTTTAAAATTGATCTCACATCCTTCAAATCCTATTAGGGCTAGTTTGGTAGTACTGAAGAGTATAATAAGTTCTACTTATATAAGTAGCTTATAGAAGCAACTTATATAAGCTGCTGAAAATAGTTGTTTGATAATCATATATCAAAAGCTGTTTCTAAAAACAGTTTAGGTGTTTGGTGAAACTTTTCTTAAAGACCGTTGTCAAAAGATAAAGGTCATATACATACTATAAACTTAATAAAAAACAGAAAATGTTTTTAAAAGTATACTGAGGTTGCCTCTAAATGCCCTTAAAGGCAGAAGTAATTTTAATTAGTATGTAAATTTTTTTTACCAAACACAATTATCACCCCTTCTAAAAAAGGAAAAAAAAATAGAAGTATACTAAGAAAAGCAATACAAAATTTGCGCTTACTATGTTGAAATAAGCCCCCTAGTTAGAATCTAGTTGAAATGAGTGAGAATATTCTGTGTACTTTAGTTTTTTCGGTGATTTGTCCCTTATGTCCCTCTCACACAAACCTAAACCCATTAGCCAGTTTAACTTATACCTATTAAGCTCTCCAAATTTGTTTAATAAAATCATCACCCAAAATATCTTCCCTTTTCATCTTCTCCAATGTCTTCTTCCCCAACGACTCTCTTCAGTCCTGATCATAAATTCCCATTAGGGAAGAAGACATTGGAGAAGATGATCAGGGAAGATATCTTTGTACGAGGTTTTTATTAAATGGATTTGGAGAGATTGGTATAAGTTAAAGTGGTTAATGGGTTTAGGTTTATGAGAGAGGAACATAAGGGGCAAATAACTGAAAAACCTGAAGTACATTGAATATTCCCGCTCATTTCAACCAGATTCTAACTAGGGGGGCTAATTTTAACTAAAATTGGCTTTTAGGGGTCTGAGATCAATTTCAAAGATTTTGAGGGGCTAATCTTGACATATTGAAGATTTACGAGGCCCTGAGATCAATTTCAAAGATTTGGGGGGCTAATAAAAATATAGAAGACATGAGGGGGTAACGTTCCAATAACCAACAAAAAAAAAAGAAGATAGAAAAGGAACGACCACAGGGGAACCAATATCGACACAGATTTGGTTCCCATTAGGGAAGAAGACATTGGAGAAGATGAACATGGAAGATATCTTTGTACGAGGTTTTTATTAAATGGATTTGGAGAGATTGGTATAAGTTAAAGTGGTTAATGGGTTTAGGTTTATGAGAGAGGAACATAAGGGGCAAATAACTGAAAAACCTGAAGTACACAGAATATTCTCGCTCATTTCAACCAGATTCTAACTAGGGGGGCTAATTTTAACTAAAATTGGCTTTTAGGGGTCTGAGATCAATTTCAAAGATTTTGAGGGGCTAATCTTGACATATTGAAGATTTACGAGGCCCTGAGATCAATTTCAAAGATTTGAGGGGCTAATAAAAATCTAGAAGACATGAGGGGGTAACGTTCCAATAACCAACAAAAAAAAAAAGAAGATAAAAAAGGAACGACCACAGGGGAACCAATATCGACACAGATTTGGTTCCCATTAGGGAAGAAGACATTGGAGAAGATGAACATGGAAGATATCTTTGTACGAGGTTTTTATTAAATGGATTTGGAGAGATTGGTATAAGTTAAAGTGGTTAATGGGTTTAGGTTTATGAGAGAGGAACATAAGGGGCAAATAACTGAAAAACCTGAAGTACACAGAATATTCTCGCTCATTTCAACCAGATTCTAACTAGGGGGGCTAATTTTAACTAAAATTGACTTTTAGGGGTCTGAGATCAATTTCAAAGATTTTGAGGGGCTAATCTTGACATATTGAAGATTTACGAGGCCCTGAGATCAATTTCAAAGATTTGAGGGGCTAATAAAAATATAGAAGACATGAGGGGGTAACGTTCCAATAACCAAAAAAAAAAAGAAGATAGAAAAAGAACGACAACCAATATCGACACAGATTTGGAGGGGCCTGAGAACAATTTCAAAGATTTAATATCAAAATAACCCTGAAAAACAGAGGTTCGAAAAATAGCGACCGACCACAGTGGGAGTCGAACCCACGACCTTCTGATCCGAAGTCAGACGCGCTAATCCACTGCGCTATGCGGTCTTGTGTGATCATTCCCCGCATGTATTAATTAAAAACGTAATCCAAGTTAAGTACTTTCCCATCCTTCATTCTGATTTATGATTGAGATCCATCATTGTATCTCGTATATCAACCTCACAAATGATGACAATTTGCGCAACTTAATACTCCAACTAATAACAATACTAATTTTTTTCCTGAAAGCGTTACCATCAAGAAAATGCAACACATGCCCACTACAATTATTTTTTTGAGAAGAAGGATGGATTACTGTTAACCATAACAGTAATCCAGCCAGCTAATTTAAAAAAATCTGGTTGTTACGCCCACTGCAAATTTTAAGTCAACGCAAACCAACAAAATGCAATACATGACCACACGTGAATCAGTGCAATCACCGCTTTAAAACCGATGATGAAATACGCGTAATATTCTGCTCCCTCCACCGTAAGTTTTGCGTAGAGACCCCTCTACATGATTTTTTTTCTCCCCGAGCGTTTTGACGTAGTATTTACTCAGCAAACAAAATAGAAAATAATTAAACGAACAATGCAGAGGCGAACTACGTAGGTCAGGAAAAAAAAATCCTTCATTGTCCTAGCCTACAATGAATATTATTTCTTGAAGTACAGGCTTCATAACTCATACGTTAGAAATGAGCACAAGAAGAAAAGTTAACAAGGCTAACCAACGCATTTCAAAGAGCTTATCTGGAAACTAAACAAGGTCACAATCATATCATAAATAAATCATACTTAACTGAAGCCGAGGGATTGTATAAAAAAAAAGGACATATATACGCCGGTTAACAAAGCGTTAACAAGAAAACAGTTCGAGCATCAGCAAAACCAAGGACATTCGATCTTCTCGTACCATACATTTGTTCCTCCGCCCTGGATTCCCCTATGCAAGTTGTTTAACATTACATAAGTATATATGGTAACTCGAAAAATCTCGACGTCACAAAATTTGAACCTTAACCTCTCCTACGTAGAAGAATGGAAGAAAGCCGCGCGCATCAACAAGCAAATATATTGGTTATCTTGCTGCTGTTCGTGTTCAACAATTACCATGTCCTCTCTAAAAGTAAGCCTAGCTGTTTGCCATCTCTCAAACTCAAAGCATCACTTTCTCCTTGTGTATATAAATCAGTTTTCTGTGTTTTCAGGAGTTATTGAACTGTCAACAATCTCCACAAATGAACTTTAAATGGAGGCGATGCAACATTTAATTAATAAAGTTCAGCAAACTGATTACACCCACTGAACATGTTCTGAGATTTCATTGATTTATGTATTAACTGGCTTCACATGCTTTGTATATATTTCAGTGGTTTAATTACTTAACGACGGAGATAACCCTAATCACAACTGAACAAAAGAATATGATTCATATAGCACTTGTTGTTATTGTTGTTACCTGCTTTTACATTGTATCTAGCTAACATTTTCCCATTACCGTTACTGGAAATTGGAGTCACTGTACCTAGGCCTGTCCATCCGGCCAGGCCCGGCCCGGCCAGGCCCGGAAATCCGGGCCCGGGCCGGGCAAAACCGGAGCCCGGACCCGGACCCGGGTACCCCGGGCCGGGTCCAGGCCCGGGCCCGGGCCCAACCGGGCCGGGCTCCGGGTCGGCCCGGATTTTTTTCAATTTTTTTTTCTTTTTTTTTGATAAAAAATGCTAAAAATTAGTTTAAATTTATTATATTTTATATAATTATGTATTAGTATATACTTATAAATTATTATGTAACTATATATTATATATACATATATTATATATATTATATATACATATATTATATGTAAATATATTATATATATTTATAAGTTATAACTTGAGAGAGAGAAAATCACATAAGTAGCCATTGCCCGTTGGGCCAATGGGGAAGAAGTAACCATTGTAATATGCTATACTTATATACTAAGAGAGAGAGTATACACACACATATTATACATATATAAGAGAGAGTATACTTATATATACATATATACTAAGAG